CTAACTACTTGATTTCTTTACTACCATTCCCTAACAACATGATTCTTTACACCATCCCTAACAACATGATTTCTTTACACCATCCCTAATAACATGATTTCTTTACACCATCCCTAACTACTTGACTTCTTGACACCATCCCTAACAACTTGATTTCTTTACACCATCCCTAACTACTTGACTTCTTTACACCATCCCTAACTACTTGATTTCTCTACACCATCCCTAACTACTTGACTTCTTTACACCATCCCTAACAACATGATTTCTTTACACCATCCCTAACTACTTGACTTCTTTACACCATCCCTAACTACTTGACTTCTTTACACCATCCCTAACTACTTGATTTCTCTACACCATCCCTAACTACTTGATTTCTCTACACCATCCCTCTATAATTTGACTTCTTCACACCATCCCTAACTACTTGATTTCTCTACACCATCCCTCTATAATTTGACTTCTTCACACCATCCCTAATTACTAGACTTCTCTACATTTTTTGTACCCTAAATTCACTAGTTCATCGAAATGACCTAAGTACATATATACACGACATATAGTTCACCTATCTTCTTTGTTACAATCAAACCTAATGATTTATTAACAACCTGTCACTTTTCTTTCTCTTGAACTTATATTAAATCCTAACGTATCCTGATAGTGGATTACTAGGTTCTCACCTACTTTACTATTTATGTATAGTGAGTGGTTTGAGGAGATGTTAAACTCTTGTTACCATAGAACGAATTACTGTTACAGCAACATAGGTGAATAGTTTAATTGATAGTTACCATCCAAATTAAAGTATTGTCCCTCAATCGCTGCTCAAAATTACTGGTGTTAAACTCTTGTTACCATAGAACGAATTACTGTTACTGGTGTTAAACTCTTGTTACCATAGAACGAATTACTGTTACTGGTGTTAAACTCTTGTTAATTATGGGTTAAATTATCTACCCACGTTACTATTTATGGGTTAAACTATTTACCCACTTTGCTAATTATGGGTTAAACAATTCATCCATCTTACTAAGGGTTTTTTCTTGAAGCTTAAACCTGATTATGGGTTAAACTATTCGCTCATTTTACTAAGGGGTCCTTTCTTGAAGCTTAATTCTGATTATGGTTTAAATTATTCACCCACGTTACTGATTATGGGTTTAAACTATTCACCAATGTTACTAAAGGGTCCTTTCTTGAAGCTTAATTCTGATTATGGTTTAAACTATTCACCAATGTTACTAAAGGGTCCTTTATTGAAGCTTAATTCTGATTATGGTTTAAATTATTCACCCACGTTACTGATTATGGGTTTAACTATTCACCAATGTTACTAAAGGGTCCTTTCTTGAAGCTTAATTCTGATTATGGTTTAAACTATTCACCCACGTTACTGATTATGGTTTAAACTATTCAACAATGTTACTAAAGGGTCTATTCTTGAAGCTTAATTCTGATTATGGTTTAAACTATTCGCCCATTTTACTAAAGGGTCCTTTCTTGAAACTTAATTCTGTCTCCAAAATCTACACATTAACACGTTCATTCTGATCTCACTCTTTAATATCTACACATTAACACGTTCAATCACTCTCTAAATTCTGACATATTGACGTTTCTTCTATAACATAAGTGTAAAGGATAGTCAAAACTCGCGTAGAACAACAATACTGACGTTTGTGTTTAGTTATTTATTTGCGACTATCAGGTTATTTTGGTTTAATTTTTAATACACAAATTTTCGGCCCAATAACCCGAGAAGAAATTTGATCTAACGGAACAATTCAACTCGTTTGTAGGATAAGTTGAAATACAAACTAAGCACCCAGATGAATTTCCGAAGAGTCAACCCGTTCCTAGATGATATTTCTATTATTTACACAGTAACCCTTAATGGTACATTAGGGATACACCACAACTACATCTACTATATCTCGTAATAGGTGTTCGGGGTATTTATGTATCCCGTGATACAGTTTACAATATCTGGTGTATCACGTGATATCAGTTCAAATTACCTGTTTTAACACGTTACAGTTTTATTATTTGTTGAACAACGCGACCCTCCACGACAGTGTTTCCCAAAGTGGAAGCCGCGGCCCCCTGGGGCCGTGAAGCTTTTTTGGGGGGCCGCCATAAAATGGGCCGAAAACAAAAATGCTGAATTAATTTTAGTTCTAAATAAACAATAAGCCGATAAAAAATATGTTGAATTAATTAAATGATACAGTATGTTGAAAGGAGATGTTATTGTTTTTACTACGGCACTGTTTTTCAATCACCATTGCTAAAGTTAAATGTTAGGGGGCCCTCAACATTTTTTATTACATCAAGGGAGCCTCAGACTAAAAGACTTTGGGAAACCCTGCTACACGGAACTTATGATATTTGTTGTGGTAAAATATATGTCCTAAAAATAATAATACCTTTCTTGATGCAAGGCTTAGTTAAACATATAATACTGGGTTTCGTTTTAAGTTCGGCAAAGTATTAATATGGTCAAGATGATACACAAAAACATCACCATCAGGCAGAAGAAGTGTTAGCTTATAAAACCATCATCATAGTTTTAATGAAAGCTGTACATCACCATCACACAAAAGAAATGTTAATTTATAAAACCATGCTCATAGTTTTAATGAAAGCTGTACATCACCATCACACAAAAGAAGCTGTTAATTTATAAAACCATGCTCATAGTTTTAATGAAAGCTGTAGATCTATAATTCACTCCAGTAAACGTTTTCAATAAATTAAAACTCACGTGACATAAAGAAACGTAACAGAAGTATAAGCAACGGAGTGAACAAGGAAATGACCAATTTGTCCAAGTTTATCATAGTGCTAACCGTAATGGAGTCTTCGTTTTTGTTGTGTTTTTTTTTATGCGTCCTCTCGTCATCTGCTCTTTACCATGAAATTTATACAAGACACGTTCAAACCCCCGGGGGACGTGCTCTTGAAACATATACACCCACCTACATATACAGAACCGAGATATAGCGAATCAGCTAGGAAAAGGCCTAGAAAGTGAATGTTACAATACTGAGTCTCATAAAACGACTTTCATCAATACAGCCCTGAAGTTGCAGACAATTTACAGTTTAGGTACGCACCACAACATAGAAATCTGGATGATTCAAAAAACTTTTGTTTTTCTGGAGCGAAATGGGAAAAAGAGGATAGAAAAATGGAAGAGAAACGTTAAGAATGAAGATGTTTGACTCTGAAGAAGAAAGAGAAAAAAACGTTCGGAGTTATTGGGTTTCTTTTCATGATTGCATCATTTTCTGGTATGTTTCCACACTCTGCCTTAGCTGTGTTGCACAATGTACAGACAAGAGGATAACTATGTGTCATTAATGTCTCTTTGTTCATTGCTTTAGATTCTTTTAAACGACTGTAAAGACAGAAAATATGAAGAAGTTACAAACCAGAATAGTTAAACCCATTATCAGTAACGTGGGTGAATAATTTAACCCATAATGTGAGATCAGAATGAACGTGTTAATGTGTAGATTTTAGAGAGCGATTTGTTTGTTTGTTTGAAATTAAGCACAAAG